GCTGATTTAATTTTTTTCTCTATTAACAGAAAAGATATCTAACGTTGTATTTATCCACATTTTTGCTTTTGTGTTAAGCTTCATTTGCAAGACTCGAACCCAATACCTCTGGTATCGTCTGGCTTTACGGCAAAGGTTCTATAATCTCTCTATATTTATTTCAAAAAAAGATAATAGAAAATTAGCATTGCCCGCGGCTCTGCCCGCGTCTAGATGACCAAAAACCAAATTCTTAGGTTTTACATATAAGTATACTCTTACATTGCAGTTTTAGTATTTTTTCTCAGAAATGAGATATTTTCCTGCAGTAAAAAGTATTCTATATGGTGACTCGGATTTCATCAAAATCCGTTCAGGGATTTTTCCGTGATGCGGTAACAGACAGACAGACAAAAATTCTACAAACTATACTATATTCGGCCTCTGTATCGATAATAATGTCTATTTCAAAAAAAAAAATTTTAAAAATATTTAATGTACAGATTCGGCTTAGTTACAATTTTATTATATGTATAGATTTAAAAAACTGTTTTCAATTAAGACACTATATACTTCTATGCATCTCAATTTCGTAAGTTAAAATTAAAATAAAACTTACTACTGACTACTGTCCGCGCTTCAACGGTGTAAAAAAAAACTTTCATGTACAGCGCCATCTCTACTTTTAAATTCGGAACTAAAATAAGAAAAATAACATTAACGTTGAACTTTTATCCCATATGAATGTAAAAATATATCTTTTAATCGGCTTTTGCGTAGATTGGAAGCAAATATCTAAAAAAATTCACGAATCTTCAGTTCTTAATTTTTTTACTTTAAAATATTGACCATAATCTATATATACTACTAATATTATAAAGAGGTAAAGTTTGTGAATTGTGAGTTTGTGCGGTTGTGACGTTGTAGGGGGTAATCTTTGGATCTACTGACCGATTTAGATGAAATTTAGTAAGAAGATAGTTTGAGACCCTGGAAAGGACATAGGGTACTTTTTATCCCGGAAATCATCCTTTAAAGGGGTGAAAATGGGTATGAAAGTTTTTATGAGGAATCAACCTAGGGACGAATCCAAGCGAAGCGAGAGTGAGTCGCTAGTATATAAATATATCTGTTTTATTTTGTGAAGTAAAAGAACTAGTTTAAATATAAAATACAATCAGAACCCACGGCTTCACTCGCGCTAAACTACAACAAAAACTCTAAAATGGTAGGTTTCACACAAACTTTTATCCCCTATTTTACTCCGTTATGGAATAAATTTAGAAAAATGCTAAAACATGTATGTATTTAATTGTATTGAAGGGCATTAATACTAAATTTCAAGTAATTCTGACCATTAATATTTTTTGGGTTGTCTATAACGCTTGTTTTCCCGTGGGAATGAAATAATCTCCCGCTGCAAAAAGGAACCTATCTCTCTCTCCAGCCTTCCAACTATCTCCACACAAAAAATCACGCCAATCCGTTATCCCGTGTTCGTTCGTTTAGACGTGAAAGAAGGGCAAACAAACACACTTTCACATGTATAATATTAGTATATGGAAGTATGTATTATAGGATTTATTCATTTAATTCCAGTACATTCAATATTTATCAATAAAATACACTACAAGTAATAAAAAATGAAAATAATAACACAGAAAAACTGATCGTAAAAATTAATATAGTGTATAAATACTGATAATAACGCCATTGCAGAACTCATATTTATCCTACAACGATTAATAATCAGAACGGCCGTTAGTACTCGTAGTAACACATAACAGTAAACAGTGTGATATAGATTTCTTTATTTTAATTAATTATTTTAGTAGTTTTCAAAGCGAAAAAAAAGTATTTTGATGTGTTCTAAGTAGTTTATTTTTGTGTTTGTTTAGGTATCGTATTAACATATAACTTACTAATCCTTTTGCAATAATTCATTGAGGAAGAATTTTTCAACTTCAAAACCTTCATGCGAGAAATAACTAAAAAAATCTACTTTATGGTCTATATCTATACATATAATAAAATTGTAACTTAGCCGAATCTGTACATTCAATATTTTTTGGAAAATCTTATTGAAATAGACATTATTATCGATACAGAGGCCGAATCTATAGTTTTCAGAATTTTCGTCTGTCTGTCTGTCTGAATGTCTGACTGTTACCGCATCACAGAAAAACCAGTGGAGGGATTTTGATGAAATTTGGTATGGTGATAGCTGGTTATGCGGGTCAACATATAGGATACTTTTTACCGCGGGAGAATGTCTCATTTCTGAGAAAAAATACTAAAACTGCAATGTAAGAGTATACTAATATGTAAAACCTAAGAATTTGGTTTTTGGTCATCTGCACGTAGGCGGAGCCGCGGGCAATGCTAGTTATTCTATATATTTATCAAAATTTCACAATATTTAGAAAACTTGTATAAACATTACCATTCATATATCATTTTCACAATCCTCGAAGTACCGAATCATTTGAGTAAGTAATATAAGAAAAACAAACCTTGTTTAAAATATTATCAGCCGTCATCAGGAACCGTGATGCCATTTGATTTGTCACAGGATTTTATCACTATATTCATCAAGTGACCTGGACGACACTGTGTCATTAGCTTAGATAGATTTACAATACCTGTATTCTGAAACACTTCATCTACTGACCCATTCACAACAGAATCTAGAAAAATTATTGCATTCTCAGCTCTATTTCTCTGTTAATAAGAGCTAGGTGATTTTTTATCGTAGGTAAACTCTTATATGTGAACTGATGCCACCCAAGGCGCACATGAGCTCTATAAATGTGTACAATTTACTGCGTTCTTAAGATGAAATTGAAAACTTGCATCCTAATGATATGATGTGAAAAAATAACCTCACTAGCGTTAGATAGAGTTAGTAGAAACGTTAACAGTCGTTAGGTTTTATATTTATAACACACATTGATTTAATATGTACTGTATAATATATATGTATTGATAAAATCTTCACTTTATGGTGTTTTATTTAAAAATTAAAATTGAAACCATATATTCTAGGTAACTTATAGGGATTTAAATATGGCTTAAGTTAAACGTTAATAGAGCTAATAGAATACTCTGTAAATCAGAAAATTCTTCATCTATAGGCTTCTTTTTATACTAATTAGTACTAGATTTTGTCGCTACCGCACTCGCATAGGTTGGTTATTCATATAAAATTGCTATCCCTCTAGGACCGTGGTGTTATAGAAACCCGGAATGTCCTTAAATAATAAGCTTTAATGTTCAAAAATAATAAATGTAACTAATACCTAGTAATTGCAAATTACAGTAATAAGTGCATTCAAATAAAAAAAAACTCTTCACCTTTATCCTCATAAATCATGTTTTTGTGCCATATTAGAAAACTATAAAATGTTACTACAAAACACTAAAATGTTGGTGCAAGCCATCGAATCTGTAGTTATATAAATTACAAATTTCGCGGAGTCTAATTTAAATTCACTATGTCAAGCGTCAGTCCTTCCTACTAGATACCAAGGTTGTGGTTTCGATTCCCACGCAAAGGGAACAGGCCTCAAATTTATGATTATAATAAGAGGAAAAATATGCACATTTTCTTTAAAATTGTTCTAAACATAATCTATTGAAAATGCCAAATATTCGCGTAAATCTAAAAATGTATTTTTTTATAGCACAAGGGGCATACGAGCAAATCATCCGCCCGATGGTAGCTATCATGGCATTAGCCACATCATATATATTAATGCGATAATTATTTTATTTTATAATTTTTGACAGTGTGACTGACAGTTATTTTTATTACGTTAACACAAAGAAGTATTGGAAAGTTACTAAATTATACAAAGAGATGGATCGCGATAGGTACCGGTAGCCCAGTGGTAACGCGTCCGGTTGACACACCGAGTGCAGCGGGTCTCTGGGGAATCTTTTCGTGTGCGAATAATTTTCAACATGATTACCACTTCTCTTACGGTGAAGGAAAACATGGTGAGGAAACCTGTATGTCTGAGAAAACCTAGAAAGTTTTCATAAAACGTGGGCAGTCCGCCAATCCAGCGTGGTGGACTATAGCCTGATCCCCTTCGTATTCAAGGGAGACTCACCCCCAGCAGTGGGACGTTAAACATGGCTGAATAAATTAAATTTTGGTTAATAAAACGATTCTAGTTCTAAGGAGTGTGCAAAATGGGAAGTTGTATGAAAGTCTCATATGACTATCAAATTTTCTATATATTTGATTACAGCCAAACATTTTTCCAAGACATTGTTTTAAATCTATTATTGTACTTTTAATCTGTTACGATTTCATTATAATATAGACTTTTGACTTTTAACAAAATCTTCTACCCGGTAAGAGACCAATTAAAATCGATTCAGCTGTTCTTCTTCTATCTTCTGTAGTATGGAAATCTTTTATTTGACATGATTAAAAACACTTTACTACTTTTTTAATGATTATTTAAGCTTTAATATCATAAAAGTTACTATATAATAATAAAGTAACATACAAGGAAAAAATATTTTGGTATCACTCATAAGCATTTCAATTTTCTTTTAAAATACAAATACATACGTTTTTTTCTGATCCCAAAACACAAAGTGTAGGGGGCCAGGGGCACTACGTGCCTTGCTTATAGAGATTCAAAATATGCAAAACATATTGAAAATTCGAAATCAATGGGAAAGGAGAAGGAAGTTTACTTATAATAAATAATAACACATAAACGACAATCTTTGCGTCATTTTGATAAGCTTTGATTTACGACAGCTCTACAAAATGTAAGAGGCACTAAATTACTTATTATACTCTATACAGTATACATATTAAATGAAATACATTGTAAGGCTCTTGGAGACAGGGATTGGAGTTTTACGATTTTAAATCTGCTAATTATATGGCCTGGTTTCTAATATAATATTCTTACTAATATAATAAAGTTTAGAGTAATGAAGCGTGTTTGCATCGTTTTACTTATCTAAATCTTACATTATTAATTAAAAAGTAATTTATGCCCATCCGTAGGCACTTGAACATGCCTGGCTCGGAAAGTAAAGTAAATATTTTCTGTTGCTATAACATAGTATTTATCCTTCTTAACATAGATAAAATTAAATTAGCTGTTTGTTATTTGAAATTATTTTAACGATTTTCTAGACTGCAAAAGTTGTTTATGCGCAATATCGTTGTATATAAAGATTAGATGACCAGATGTTGTTCTATCACAATTTAGATGTGTGATGTATACCTTGTAAGGTTACATGTAAATTGTATTCCACAAATTTCCCAATTTTCCGGATAACTTTTCTAAATTTCCTCAAAAAGCATTATTCCAAGAATTATGAATATTTTAATTTAAAAATTAACGATTCACTTGATGGTAAGTGGCTATCGTCATTCATAGATATGTGCAACATAAAAGAAGTTGCAAATACGTTGCCAGCCTTTAAGAACTGAAGGTACGGCTCTTGAAGAACCCCATATTTTAGCGCTCAGATAAGATTCTCAAAAGAAAGATTGATTCACAATTTGCACATGCAAAGTAGAAATCAACGTGATGCAATTATAAATAAATATAATTTGCGAGATATCGGTTAAGGTTAAAAAAGCTAGTCAAATAGTAAAACAAAATATTTTCCATAAAAATTTAATGTTATGGACAGACCTTTTAAAAGATTTTCCCTATACATACTAACTGTACAAACCAACCGTTATTACTTCATTATAAGTATACATTCATTTATTATAGAAAACAAACAAACCTACAAAGTGACAGAGGCTATGCAAGGTCTGATCGTAAAATTATATTAAATTGACATTAGATTGCTAATCAATGGATGGCCTTTTGTTGCTGTAAGCTTATAATATTAGTCTTTTTGTGATCCACACAGTAAGGTCACTTGTATCATAACTATAACTTATCGCATTCGTTTTTGAGTAAATTTGAATCGTAAATATTATTGCCTATTCTACCTGCATAATGAGTAGAAAATGACACGGTATACTTCGCATGACGCTCATTTAGACTTTCGTGCTCATTAAAATTTCGTTGGAATAACTTTATGTTGGTAAACCTAATGTTGTAAGGATGTATGGCGACATTTTATTGCCAATTTTTACGGTCATGTTGGATACTAATACTATGAAGATGTATGAAAATGCACTGATGCGTGAAACGACAATTAATTGCAGTCGTCAGTGAAGCAACTGCTGGTTGAGTTTTCTCAGAAGCCACTTTTTATCACTGGGTCGTAGGACGTGTGTTATGCACATAAGAAAGAGGTGGTTTGAAAGACATGTGAACTCTACCAATCCGCTCTTTGCCAACATGGTGGCTTCCCCCTCGTATGAAGGGATTGAACTGAAATAATTATTAAAACTTTTATTTAGAGACATACACACACACATTTTTATTTAAAGACAACTTGGTTATTACGTTTACTGTCCAGATAATCACTGTCGAAATTATTAAGTTACTGTTTATCGGCCGAATAGGTCCAAAGACAAAGCTCTTACAACTTGTGGAGTGATATGAAAGTAATAGCATTTTAGTTGGATATGCTGAGGTAACCAGACTCGCACAGGATTTGAAACTGCGACCAAGCCATGATCTTCATACCGTGTATACTCTAATACAAATCAGTAAAAATTAAAAAGGGGAAAATGGTGACTATCCATTCTTATTATTGAACATTGCAAAGGTGTGCTACTATAGTATTTTTAAAAACAAAATTAAGCTGGTTTTTAAGCTTAATTTACTTTGTAACATATTTTTCAATAATTTTTGGTGGATAAATTATTTAGTTTTTTATATATTACACACAACTATACATACAGAAAAATATATTTAGATGTATTTGCTAAAAGATGTTGAAAATATTACTATCACAGATAGCCCCTCGATAGTCTTTAATGTTTGTGTCATCCATTTTACAACATCTAAGAGACTCGGTGATGTCACTGGATTATAAAACTAATTAGAGCTCTCGTGCCATCTCATGGTTTATGGCGGCACCGCTAAGTGCATAACGGAGATATGTATATATGAAATATATCGCATAACCCACAATACCGCACACTTAATGTCCTACGGTTTCTCTTTTTCCTGGCCTTTTCTATTGCCATGGTATATGTTGTACAGTGATGGCAAACATTTAAATATTCTAAAGTTTTTTTTTTATTTGTATTCGGACACAGGTCCATAGTTTAATATGTATTATCTAAAAACATTTAAAATATACAAAAGCATCACAATTTTATAAAAGCATTCAAAAAATTATGAATCGAATAATTCCAGGGTCCACAACGAGATGATGGAAGTTGGAGAGTCAGAAGGAACGCTCAAATTGAAGAAATAATATCCAAGCCCCAAATAATTGGCAAAAGCAAGGCAGCTCGACTTAGTTGTCTCGACTATGTGGAGAGGATGACAGAGAATGGTGTGACCAAAAAAGCATACTTGAGATTTCCTAATAGACGTCCGTAGTATCGCAGGATTAACTAACTTCAAAAAGACCTGCGTCAGCTTGAAGAGTCCGATTTCGATTGGCGAAAAGCTGCTCAGGATAAAAAGGAATGGCGGAATCTAGTGTTTGTGCACAAAATCCACTTTGGATCGCTGAGCAAGCGTAAGTAAAATTGTTATGATGAAAAAATATTATCAATCCTCTCTACTCAAGCGATTGATATTAATATTATTACAGTCTTATATATTTCTTTAGTACTTATACTAAAATAGATATGTAATGTAATAATGTATGTACAAAATTGTAACTTGTAGTCGATAATTTGTAACTACATATATATAGGCTATAAATGGTATATTTTATAGGTATGTGTGTTTTAGCTGATAACGATTTTTGGCAAATATATAATTTTTAATAGTTCTATAAAAAAGTCTCCGATACCATAATAATTGTCACTTTTACATTTTAGTCGACATATTTGCTTTTTTGTTTTAATTTTTTTTATTTAGTACTAGCGACTCACCCTACGTTTACGTTTTGACGTTTAGTATAGATTTCTCATAGATGAGATATTTTGCCGCGGTAAAAAGTATTCTATATGTTAACCCGGACAACCATCTATCACCATACCAAATTTCATCAAAATCTGTCCAGTGGTTTCCTAGTGATGCGGTAACAGACAGACAGACAAAAAATTTAAAAACTAAAGATTCGGCCTCTGTATCGATAATAATGTTTATTTCAATAAGATTTTCCATCAAATATTTAATGTACAGATTCGGCTTAGTTACAATTTTATTATATGTATAAATGAATACCTTTATAAGTGGATAATTCAGACAAAGTAGAGGACATCAACTAGCTCATTTGCAAACAGCGTCCATAACTCACATTTAAATTGAATCAATTTCCTACTTGCAAACGGGGCGAATGTTTCGAGCCCGATTTATTAATTTCGCGGGCTATTAGCTTGTAATAGTGCACTCTGTTGTAATAGCCGGAACATTTGTTTCCGAACACCTTTGGACGCGTAGGGCTGCTCGCAGTAAAACTATTTCTGTTTAGCTTTGATTTATTTCTTTAGCTAAAATTTTCGCCTCTAGTGTTATATGTAAAAAAATCTATAAATTTTACTTTTTTCTTCCAATTTTTTTTTAAAGATACATATTTTAATGACTTAAAAATTATTCCCATAAATTATTCTTATAAATATATAAATAGTATTTTAAGTTGAATTTTTCACGAGTCCACTCTAAGGATAACAAATTCAATAAGGAATTATAAACATCGAGATGGAGATATCACATAATATACATAATAAGCAATATACTCAATTGAAACATATGTATTTCTAACTGACCCAGGATTCGAATCTAGGGCCTGTCGGTCGATCTGCAGATTTATCGATTATATACATACATGCTAGCCGGTAGACAAATAAGGCAGTCAACCCTTAATAAAACACCATACAACCAAAACTCTCAACCCTCTTTGAAATTTAAATTAGCATTGCTTTAATTGTATATCATAAATCTTTTTAAAGCACAAAAAGCTTCACTTGATATATAAAAACAATCGATCGCGTGACAACGGCACAAAGCCTAGAACCGGACTATTCGACATTGAATTGCCATACATCATTAATCACAAACAGTATTTCGAGTCTTATAAATTAACCTCGTATTATATAGTGGGTCATTCATAAAAGCTCGTGTGGTGTAAATTGCACATCCCTACTGGTACCTGAAGACACTGAGCAATAACATCCTCTGGCGACCGCTTATATTTAACACTATTTTACCTTATAATTTCGCCAAAAATATCTAAAATAAACCTTAAATCTATACAAATTAGGCTTAATGAGATGAAAATTTAAAATTGTTGGTTTACAAACGAAAGGATGTTAAATAGAAAGGAATTTAAGCTTTTTGCCAAAGCAATAGGTTTGTGTGAGAGCGTAGATATATCTGTGTTTAAAGCAACGATCTGCAGCCCGCTGTGAAAATCACCCTATTTGATTTATACATACAAACGCCTCTCGGTATTAATTCACTTGCAATTTGTCATTGGATGTGAGAAAGTGGTATATTGTTCGTCTTCAACGGGATATAATAATGATATGTATTATTTTGAGGCGAACCACCCAGACCGCGATTTATTTGTACGCGACAATAATTCAAATTGTAAACTGAGCTCGACTGTCTTTTTATTAAAGCAAATGCTAAGATAAGTGATTTTATTTTATATAGTGATAATTTTTTATATAGATTTGAGCGACTTGAAAGGAGATACTTAGTTCATAGTGTATTTTAGTATGTTTTTGGTATATTTTCGTCAATTGTGAAGCGATTTTAATGTTTTTTTTAGATTGGATAAAAGGCATTTATAATACGCATTTATTTATTTAAAAAAGTTCTGCCAGAAAGAGTGGAGGTTAAAGTCATCTTTAAGTGTCAAATTTTGAATCGGAGTATAATATAATGTCATATGAAAGTAAAATCTGTTAAACTACGAGTATGTATATATTATATGAAATAAAATTTCAAGTAATTTCCCCAAAATTGTCATTTTAAAAGTTTACTTTGACATTTATATGTTCATAAACCTACACTCTTAATATCGATCGATAAGCTTATATCTCTACAATTTCAATAAAATGGTCTTGCAATAAAAAGTAACAAAGCTACTTTTGTTGTTTATTTAAGAAAATCATAATAAATTTTATTTTTGTTTACATAATTAACTGTTTACACAATAAATAAAAAGTATCATTACCTATTACGATTTATTGGTGGAAACTACAAGTTTCTTTGTTTTAGAATTTACACAATTTTATTTCTCGAACATATTTTTTCCAACAACAAAACCTTCATCTAATTTGCTTTTCGTTTAAATACAAATACACCCAAAAAAGCAACAATAAAGTATATATACAAGTATAGAAACAGTCAAATACAACACCTCGGTTTTTAAAAGTCAGTTAAAATATGAATAAACTCTGCACAAAAAAAAATTGGCACCTACAAATGAATACGCCGTTTTTATCTCTATCATTGCGATACAAAACACAGTCAATATCTCACATAGATCGAAGTGTGAAAGTCGCAAAATCTTCTAGCCCCAAGCTATATTTAATGCCTTTCATGTTCATTAATATTGCTTTACTCGGACAGACTATAATGAATGGCTACATAACTGGACATCCATTTTTAATTAAAACCTTATTAGTGATTTTACATATATTTCACCTAATGTCGCTTTGCTATCGACATTTTTTTTTAACTTTCAAATACGATGTTGATGACAAACGGTCACAATATTTTGTTCAAAGTTCTAAAAAACAAGTTAAGGCGCGCTTTGAATTCAAAATAATAGAACTGACTTCAAATGTAAAATAGTTAAAAAAGGAAAAAAATCTATTGAACGTTTTCATAAGTATAAATAGTATATAGTAGGTAGTAAGTATACCCCGGGGGAGAAGCCAACTCCTACCGGGCGCGTCCCCAGGTGGCGGATAGGGGCATGCCACCCGCTTAGAGGGGCGGGTGGTACCGGAGAAATCCGGCGCGGACCAAATGGCTTGGATGGGGCCACTCGTCTAGGCCTCGAGCCGAAGACGTTGCGGCCACCGGTGGTGGGACCGCTTGGTCCCACAACCGGATGATGGGTGCCGGTTGCGGGACTGTGGTCGCAGGCTCGCATTCGGCGGAGGGGTTGGCCGCGGCGGGAGAGGAGTGCCGGTATTTCGGTGCGCCGTTCTCCCTACCTTCCGCGGCCTAGACGGGGCCGCCACCGTTTGATGGCGGACGCGGTGGGGCTGCAGGGGAAGAGGAGTGTCGGTGTTTCGTTGCCGCTCTCCCTGTCCTCTGCAGCCGATTGGAGGTGGCCCACTTCGGTGGGCGGTGTTTTGGTTTTATGGGGCTGCTCCGGGTACCTCTCTGACGTAGCAGAGTTGACTGTGGAGCAGCCCCATTGGTTTGGTAGTCTGCCTAGTATTTAGGCAGACCTGCCGCCGGGGCGCCGTAGTAGTTATGCGCGAGCGATCCTGCGGCGTCCCACTAAGGCGGGGGGAAGGGATGTCGGGTTTTAGTGGGTAGTACCGGCTCTTCTAGCCGATGAGCCCCACATCACCACCTGGGGGATCAGGTGGTATGCGTAAATGCATTTCCCGACGATAAAAAAAAAAAAAAAAAAAAAAAAAGGTAGTAGGTATATACCTACTTAATAAAAATTTTAGAATCGATGTCTATCTAGATTAAAAAAAATATATAAATACCAATAATCCTATAAAATGACTAGATGCTAAATCAAATATCATTTCTTTCAATATATGTATATAAAAAAAAGTTATTATGATTACTGACAGTGAACACATTTTTATCGAAATAAAGAATTTCCTTTATTGGATCAGTAGATTCAGCGATTAAGTACATCATATATCTACTGTGTACTCGGTGGTCTAGTGGATAGCATGTGTGGCTGCAGATGTCCTGGGTTCAAGTCACGGGTTGAGCCAAGTTTAATTACTGAGTTTTTCTCTTAAGATTTTCTCAATAATAGCTCGAAGTTGGGAAGTTGGCGGTGTTGCACTTTCCATCGGACTTTGAGAGTAAAAGGAATAAAGAGTGCACGTGTATCTAATACATAGAAACTCAATTTTCAATGTCAAACGTTCATGTAAACTTAAGGAAATATTAAGGTGCTTGTTTCTATGAAAATGTCAATAACATTTTAAATTCTTCTTATGTCATTTTATGTAATATAAAAAACAAAGACAATAAATTAAAAAATATAAATCTAATGGCAAATGGACATTCGCACTAAATTCATATGTTTTGATAAAACAAAGCTTATAAGATTTCTCTTAAGTAATCTTTCAGCATCCATATAAGTGATCATTAAAAAAGTACTTACAAGAACACGGGAAAGTCAGACGAGTGCTGATTCGACAAATTTGTTCTGTTTCAACGTTTCAACGCTCCACTTCGCTGAGATTCCCAGGCGAGATGACTAGGCTTGTAGGGTGTGCATGCTAGAGTATAATGTAATTATGTCCTGAAATTTTATGATACGATCAATTTTATGGTATTAATATAAACAAAATTTATTGCATAATAAAGTCATTGAAAACACAATACATTCTTTCAAATAAAATAATATAATCTTTAAATAATACACTTAAAAAACTTACAATAAATATAATAATCATTATAATAAAAAGGATTATTGCCATTAATTATTTTTGAAGGAGATACTAGTTGCTCATTGGTCCGTGTGCTTTTGAAATATCTATAAACATACATAAAGAACCGTATTAAAATCAAATCAATTTCCATTCAATTCAAAATCCTTTGTTATAGTTAGTTAAAAAGTAATATCTTTCACAGACTAACTAACAGTTACATGTAGATTTAAGTTTTAAATCAACGTAGGCAAAATAATATTAATTATTTTATTTTAACTATATAATCAAACGATTATAGAAAATATTTAAAAATATACAAATTGTTACATTTACAGAAAATAAGCTATCAGGAAACCCCATAAAAGGGTAAAAATAAACATTAGCAGTCCCCTATTATCAAACTCCATGGTGTCTCTACCCTCACTCGATTATGAGCAATTGTTATTTTTGTAGTAGACGAAGACCACGCGCTGTAGTGGAATAATTCATAACCACAATAACATTTAACTACTCGAAACTTATCGAGGGCTTCTTAATACGCGCCCACGCAGTCCATTCATATGGTATGACTTATATGTAGTTACAGTATATGTAGTGTAGTACTTTAGTATCTAATTGAGTGGCAAATTATTTATAAGTGGTTAAAAATAGTGATTTTTTGGCTTTTTGGCTGAATAATTTAATCGAAATTTGATTTTAATGAAGCAAGAAGTTTTAATCAACGTATATATGATGGAATTTAAAAGATTGGAGATTCTACGGTTCCTACGGTGCCACAATTTGAAGGCTGATTCGCATAGATCTCGACGAGATACGCCGAGAAGTAAGAATAAAATATAAGATATCTCGCTTAGTTTCCAAAATACCGATACCGAAAAATCGAAAAATGAACATTTTTTTCTACTTTTTTGGACAGTATTTGATTGACAGGTCATAGTAGGTACTTAACGCAAATCGCAATGCATGAGGTAACAATGTGGACAGTATATTGGAATACATATTAATATAAGCCTAAAAAATAATTGTAATTAATGTTTAAAACCATACAATTATTTCTCAAAAAAGCTATTTATTTTTTACAATCTAGAAATTACAGCAGATATTGACTGAAAAGAGATTGAAAATAGATTCAAATTATAAAATTCAATTACCTGCTTCCTCTAACTTAAATATTAATTATAATTAATACTTATTAATTTTGCCTATATTAAGTTCAGTCCGTGCACCAAGTTTTATGTAAATTAATCTGAAAAATTAATGGAAAAGGTAAATTAAAACTTAATTCTTATATTATTTTACTATTATATTGTACAAGTTACCATAGCGCTAATAAGAATTAAAAGGTGCAAAAAAATTTCAATTACAGAACATCACATCTGGCTATTTTTCTAACATTGAGAACCCTCCACCTGTTTTACTATTAGTCACTACACTTTTTCTTCACCGGTTCTATATAAAATATAACGTGAAGCCCTTTATTGAAAGTAATTTCAATAATTTTTATTATAATCGTACATAACTTAAGTATTTGTGAATAAAAACTCATAAATGTTAATGCCCTTTTTAATAACCTGGCGATACCATTACGATAAAATCGAGACGCTAAAAGTGTTTCTTATCGTTGTAAATAGCTCTGAATATACGGAATTAAACTATATGTATATGTAATTAACAAGAGTTAATGTTATTTTAAATAGAGAGCAGTGCCCACGATGTTACATCCTCTTAGATATTATAGCTATATTAATTTATTATAAAGCTTCTGAGTACAACAGGTGTATTATATGATTAGTAAAATGTTTGTATGTGTATATGTTTGTTTGTCCTTTAAGCTAAAACGGATGGACCGATTTGGATGAAATTTATAGCGTAGATTATAACCTGGAGTTATTTATAGGCTAGGATAATAGTGTTTGACTGAGTAAATATTTAAATGCGAAAATATTTTGATGGTTTGTTAGTTAAAAACTGAGTAACGGATTCTATTTTTGCATTGAAGTAGTTTATAGACCGAAAGATCGACATTAGGCTGTTATTTATCTAACAGTGCAAAGTGTATATTTATATATTATTTAATACATAATATACAAATATTCCAGTACCGTGGGATATGATGCTCTCTATATATAATCTACATATGTCGAAAATATAGTACCCCTACTTACTAGTACTTAATAAAACCTCTTAAAAACAAACTGAATTTTAAACTTAAAAGAACCGTAAGTTTTAAGTGTAAATTTATCTGGAACTTAAAAGCTCTGATATATCAAGAGTATCTAGAAATCTAGTTTAAAAACGAATAAAAGTAATTTCTATTTTAATCTCAGTCCATATCGTTTCGATGAATGCGAATCTTGCTATCTATAGGGCTGTCATTCAAAGTCTTCAAATTCAACCTTTATACTTTAGAGATTTTTTTTAATTTTCAGATGGCAAATGACTGAACATATAAAGTGACGTCCCGATGATGCCATGAAAAATTGCCATTCTATGGCTACACAAAGGAGGAAAGGGAGAGTTAGGCCAGAAACTACCAGGATGTCGATTGTCCAGAGGGACACGAAGAAGTTGGGCCTATCTGATGACGATTCTTACCACCGAAATGAATGGCGCTTCAAGGTTAAGGAAGCCGACCCCATGTAATGGGAAAAGGTGAAGAAAAAGATAGCAAATGACATTTTCGAACTAACTGCTTTCCGAGCCGGTGGTAGCTTCCTCATGTGCTGACTACACTGACACTCTTTAAATAATATTGACAATTCAAAAGCTCTTAGAATAAGTCTAATTGAATAAAGTTTAATTTTATTTTATTTGTGAAGTTTTCCAGGGCCTTCTACCACACAACAGCACTCTCATATTAGCGTTATGTATTGACCAATAATATTATTGGTTTTACATTGAAAATTATTTAAAGCGGTCTAACTCAACTTCTACTTACTGGCTGGCTATGTTTCAGCTTTTATTGTCTTGCTGTTATTACGATAGAGTAACTACAATAATCCTTAAGTTAAATATTTTAATGACAACGTATTGCTTTTGAAAAGACGTATACCTAACGTAGATTTAATAAATAGCTATAAAACCGATTGTGCCTTTGCTATAAAGCCCTAAATTTTATCAAAACGTTAAATAATCGTTATATCATTTTAAACAATAACAAACAGTTTCTGAATCTTTAGCTTCTTCTTGTAAGATACGTAATCACTTAACAAAATATGCGTTAAATTTTTGTCAATCTACATCTATATATGATAAAATTGTAACTGATCGCTGTCTGTACATGGAAGATATTTGAGAAAAACTATTTTTTAAGGTCTTCATTAGCGCAATAGAACCTAAAACAATGATTTTTAGAATTTTTGTCTGTTTGTCTGTGCGTTTGTACGCACTAATCTTAGAAACAGCTTATCGAATTTTGGTGTGATTTTCACTATTTTATTGTAGTAAGCCTGACTTATAACGTTTAGTATTTTATTTCAATCAGTAGTTCATAAATTAAAAAAAAATGTCAATTTAAAGAACCAGCAGCAAACGAACCTGGGTCAAGCGAGGGTGAGTCGCTAGTTTAAATAATAATTCTGATGACATACATTATTCTATTTATTTTTTTCGCAATCAATCATTGCAAAAACGGACTCATTTACAGGTACATATACGTTTTATCGCATTCGCTGGTACCTCCCTCGTAAATTCGAGGGAATCACAAGGTCAGTAGGTACTCTAACATACTAATATGCCTACATATTAGAACTATTTATTTAGCTATCAACAATATAATAGCTTATGTTTAAATTACAATATATTTTTGACAAAATAATATGTAACTACTACAAACCCAATCGTAGAATTTAGTTTGTTAATATTTAAGAATAATCTTAATTATTATTGAAAAATATTGTGACAATACAACGTGTCTAGAAGAAATATCTGCATAGTACGGTATATTACTATTAATAACATTTTTACAGGTATCGAACCTGCCACCGTCATCGTAGTAGCGATGATTATAGTAAGCAGTATGTGTTAGACTCACGCCACAACAGACCCCATACTTATGTTATTTTTTTAAAGAGTCTTTTTCAAAAATGGACTGAAGTGAGGTAACTTTTGATGTTTCATCCGCTACATCGATAGCAGCCCTGCCTTATCAAGGTAAATGGCCACCTTCATTGGAATCGAGATAAGTCGTGTTTCTACGTCTATTTATTTAATGAATATCAATTAAGAGGTAGCGTCTCGAGCTGTTTTCATATGTTACCGTCACAACGACAATGTATAGCCGTTTAAGATAGTTGATAATCCTGAGCAAAAAGTGATAATTGCACTATATTTTATAATTACCGACGCATATTGTAACACGTAATTTACAACACATTTTGTTTTAAATGTCTTAGACTCTATCATGATTAGATCGCACATCTGTTTGTATGAAATATTTTATGTTATTCATTTTATTTATATTTAATTTTTATATAACCGACTTTATTGATTGGAAATGTTGTTTCATTTTGTTATTAATGTATTAAATGTAAAAAACATAAGAATCTGAGCGTCACTAAATCAAAGTGTATAAAAAAGTAAAAATAGTTTTTTTGGTAAATTTTTCATTAGAATATTATAATCTATACATATAATAAAATTGTAACTAATCCAAATCTGTACATTAATTTTTTTTTTGGAAAATCTTATTGCAATAGACATTATTATCGATACAGAGGCCGTATCTATAGTTTTTAGAATTTTTGTCTGTCTGTCTGTTAACACATCACAGAAAAACCACTGGAGGGATTTTGATGAAATATGGTGATAACTAGTTATCCGGGTCAACATATAGGATACTTTTTACGGCGGGAAAATGTCTCATTTCTGAGAAAACATACAAAAGCTGCATTGTAAGAGCACACTAATATGTAAAACCTAAGAATTTGCTTTTTGATCATCTGAACGCGGGCGGAGCCGCGGGCTAGTATGGAATAAGAATATTTATATTCAGCTCGAAAATCTTTCAAGCATAACATATTCTATACCTACTTAGGATAAATAGCATAAATAGCAAAGGCGTAAATCCATACTTCCATACTAATATTATAAATGTGAAAGTGTGTTTGTTTGTTTGTCCTTCTTTCACGTCGAAACAGTTGGAGGACTGCAGAGTAATATATGGGTTGGAGAGTAGTATACTTTATACCACGGGAGATTATATAATTCCCACGGGAAAACACGTTATAATACAACCAAAAATTATTTATGATCAGAATTACTTGAAACTTGGTATTAATGCTCTTCAATACAATTAAATAAATATGTGTTTTAGCATTTTTCGAAATTCATCCCATAAGGGGGTAAAATAGGAGATGAAAATTTGTATGAAACCAACTTTTTTCGAGTTTTTTTGAGTTTTAGCTCCGTGAAGCCGCGGGCTCTGCTAGTATTGTTATAAATATATTACATAATATAAATTATAACAAATTTTACGACTTTTTATTTTAATATATATTTAATTCATAAAACTATTCATATGAGTATAATGTTAGGAAGAGATATAAATACCTTCATAATTATCATCTGTCAGGACTCGGGATTTGCAAAGAACGCCCACGCGTGCGGCGCGTAAATCAGCACACTCGTTTTCTCACAAATTGCATTATAAATATCAATATTTTTAAATCTCGTCTTTTTCTTCTCTATATTCCGTAATACGACATCTGATCTAATTTTATTTTATTTTTGTGGATTTCCGGACATCCCATTTAAAAACGGAACCATTTTAGAATCTTGTTCGACTTTTTTTTATAAATTATACTTTAATAAGTATTAAAATATACAAGGATTGGACATTATGTTGATTATTAACGTGAGTTACTAATTACTATACTTAGTCGTAAATGATATGCGAACATCAAAAATATTTTTTTGTACTTATATGTTTATATGAAAAAGCTTAGGTACCTACATGACTAATCTTTATTTCTAAACGATTCGAATTATGTACATACAAATGTACTCGTACGTAGGTGTATGTATTATTTTATTTCACATACATAAACACCGTATCGTTTTACGTTTATACATGAAATATTTTTACTAAAAAAAGATCGTCAGGAATACAATTTAAGAATTATTTATTATGAATTTTTTAACTAATTCAAATTTTGCGCGGGAAAGTTACTCTTTTTGCCACGCATTTTTTTTTCTTATCTGTCAAAAGGAAGTCATTCATTTTGTAAAAAAAGTAATATACAATAGGAACAATGTTAAAATATTTTTTCTAAATAAACAATATATATAAAGTCAATTTTGAATATTAAAACACTTTGTTTCCTTAAAAATAAATTAAACATTACAAATGTATATAAAATAAATAATAATAATAGGGGTTAGGTACATAATACTTTTTTAAGATGACAAAAAAATATTTGCTGTAATGCATTTGAAACATCTATACATATAATAAAATTGTAACTAAGCCGAATCTGTACATTAGATATTTTTTTGAAAATCTTATTGAAATTAACATTTTTATCAATACAGAGGCCGAATCTATACTTTTTACAATTTTTGTCAGTCTGTCTATCTGTCTGTCTGTCTGTGTGTCTGTTACCGCATCACAGAAAAACCATTGGAGGGATTTTGATGAAATTTGTTTTGGTAATAGCTGGTTATCCAGGTCAACATATAGGATACTTTTTACCGAGGGGAAATATCTCATTTCTGAGAAAAAATATAAAAACTGTAATGTAAGAGTATACTAATATGTAATACCTAAGAATTTGGTTTTTGGTCATCTGAAGGCGGGCGGAGCCGCGGGCAATGCTAGTTGGGAAAAAAATTAAAGAAAATATATCTAAAATGTGGGTACATATCACAGTATTTTACGCTTTCAGTTTTTATCAAATGGTGACATCTTGTCACCAATGAGATAGCTGCGACAGAAATATGTTGCAGTCCCACTCGTTGTCGCCAAATATAGAGATAGCATAATATTAATAATCAAACAAATGAATGGGATAGATAGATTCGCCAAAAGCTAGTATGGAACTACCTAATCCATCTAATTTATTAGTTATCCATGCTTTCAGTCTAGAGTAGAGACCAGTGTGACCTGACGCCAATTACAATAAAATGATATGACAAATAAATCAAAGGTACCGTAAGGTTCTCGCGCATCGCCGGCCGCGCCCAGAACCTGTCACTTATTAGGATATCCTTCTAAAAGCCTTTTACATTTTAATTCTTGACCGACTTCGAAAAGAAAGAAATACTTAATTCTTGTGCATTCGATATCTTTGCCTATTCTTAATCGATTTTATTATTTCCATCCTTTAGTGGAGAGTTAAAAAAGTAAATATTAAGTATTATAGGAAGCTTTCGTAAAATTAAACTTAAATTATACTTATTCAAATATGTGTATTTTAACAAGCCATTTGTGAAGATGAA